ATCAAAGCGACACTCAGCGTTCATTCCAGTTGAGACGCCTTCGGTGGACAAGGTAATCCTGTCCGCAAGCATGGAAGATGTTACTTCCGCTCCTAGGAATACGTGAGGAAGGAGCGGCTCGCTCGCAACGAGTCCACGTCTTCGTTCAGTGACTAGCAACCTGCCCGCAACGAGGCTACTGCTCCGCCCTCTGACCGTGGCTACGCCCAACTTTCATTTCTAAAGGTGGTGCGCTACTCCGCCAACGTTGCTCCGCCACTAGCTCTCCCCATTTTGAATGGTGAGAGTGAGGAGGTAAGGGAAAGGCTGGACTCCAATAGGTGAGAACTCGTCTGACAACGCCTTTCGCCTTGTGCACGCAAGCGCTATTCAGTATGGGGCTTTATATGAGGCACTTTGACTCTTTGTGTCACCCACAACCTTCCCCATTGGTATTCGAGCTTGACAAATCACCATTCTAAAACATGGGGCATGCTTTCAATGATTCATTCAGGGGACATGAAAATCTTGGATGACATTTCTTTGTTGTCGGGATTTCGTTGCGCGATCAGGCGCGCCATGATAACACCCTTTGTCATTGTCACAACTCGTCCTGGACATAATCATACTCGCCTCACACTTTCACTGGTTCATGCGGATATGCGTCCGCGGTAGGAACCTTAGTCTACTATTAATTTTAAACCAATACCTTCAGTCCCTCTCGACCGCATTGGCATTTTTTGAGTACAGTAACATCAGACCTCCACCTACTTGGGCACTTGGTGCAGGTACAGTTGGTAACACGGCGTTCCCTCACTATAGTGTAGTTTGCTGCGGACGGTTGGCGCGTCAGGCGGTTTGAGTGTGGTGCGGTGCCAAAATTGTTCATCAGCAGTTGTTAAAGCGAACAAATGATATGACTATATCATATCGTTCGTTTTCCACTACTTTCTGTCGCATGCGCGCTTCAACAAGAAGGCAGAGAACGGCCACGGAGTGACACACTTATGCTGCTTGACACACCTAACCTTCCTCTGCGAACTAGAAAATTATTGAAATTATTACTCATTTCAATATAGTTTCTAACACAAGAATCATTTTGAACTTAACAAGCAACACAAGAAAATGAAAAGTAAAATGATAATAATCAGTATGAATAATATAAAAACAAAATTAGAAAAATTAATCGTTTTAACGAAATAATACAACGAAAAAGTATGAATGAGATATTAAAATCACTACTTTTTTAGAATGTACAGTCCTCATCATTGCGGACCGGAGGGGCGTGTCAGTGCGGCTGCGTTTGGCGCGGTGCCAAAGTCGTTCTGCACCAATTGTTGAAGCAGAGAAGTGACATTACTGTATTATATCCTTCGTATTAC